AGAGTTACAATGATGGTCTTGACTCTTCAATCATCATCAGATTAAGATTCATGCTGATAATTTTGGCTATTTAGGTTTGAACCACATCCACACTTTAATATACTAGTTCTATTGCACGTGCATTAAATGCAAGTTAATAAAAATTTATAATGAATATTTTAGTTATATTTTATTGTCAAAGTGAAAATTTTTAAATTTTAAAATTTAATAAATAATATCATTATATTTAATATTTTAAAATAAATATTAAAAAATAATTAATTCACATTTAGAAGAAAAAAAAATATCTTTGTTATAAGATTTTTTATTTAGAATTATTTGATGAACTTTAAGATGGTATGAAATAAACAAAATCGAATATAGGATATGTGACAAACATCAATAATTCAATATGCCAAAAATTTTAAACAGGATGTTCTAACCATGATTTAGTTAAGTCCTTATAGTTGTCAAATTTGCTTTGAGATTAATATATAGTTAATTGATCAAAACATATATTATATTCATTTCAAAGAAAATATAATGACTATCAAATTTATATTAGAATATCCTCAACATAAGTACAAAGCTATTTAAAGTTGTCAATCCAACCTAATAAAAAGTAGCTAACAACTGAAATTTGACTGAAATCCCATGGTATAGAGCCAAGTGAAGGCTTGATTTTAAATTAAAATTTAAAGCATGTGTCAAACATTAAAGGCCCTATCAAGTTAAATCTATGGCTATTTTTTAAAAAAAGTATGTCATGAGAATAAGAGATGTTAGTATAAATCGAACACTTAGCTAAATATGTTGCATCCAAAGTTACAATATAATAATGATTAATATTGCTCTAGTTATGAATCAATAAAAAATTAATAAATAATTATTTGAGCATAAGTAACACATTTATAACATTAAAAAATAATTATTGTTAATGTGTCCAACAAAATTTTAGCAAGATTATTTATTATCCTCATTACATTATCAATGCATGATATAACAATAGAGACAATTTTTAATCTTTTGTTATACTTTATAATAACTTTTCATGTTTTAACCCATCAATAGCATTAGAAAATAAAATCAACATCAAATATGCAAAAATTTGATCTTAAAAAATTCTTATCATAACAAAAACAAAATCTTAAGGACTTCAGATGTCCTAAATACAATAGAAAATCTGACAAAACAACAAAATAATGACAAGCTACAACCACCAAAATTCTTAATATTAGATTATCATATCCCCCCTCTTCAATGAATCTCTACTAAAGTAGAAGAAGGTTTGATAGACAAATGCATCTATTATAGTCTCCTCCCCCTTCTACCGCCTTTTATACATGTGCTATCTGTGAGAATTGGGGTCACATCCACTATAAGTAAAGAAATATAGATATATTATACAATGTTACTCTAAACCCTAAACACTAAAGTTTTAATATGAAAATTAAGATTAAATTCATTAATTGAAAATTGAAAGCTTTTAATCAGAATGCTAGAGAATTAATGGAGATGAAAATCAGGAGCAACTAGCTTAGGTGTGGAAAAAAGGAGAATATAAAGATGGGTGTGGAAAATTAGAAAGAACAGAGTCTCATGTGTTGGATTGTCCAAATAAAGTTTCTTCAAGTGATGATAAATTAATACGCTTGTATCCCATACCATCGCATTATATCATGTGTGCTTGTAAAAACATAGTAAAGCAGTAAACTATTGAGAAAGAAATAAAGACCCTATGTTTATCAAAATCAATATGCAAAATTGATACAGCATACTTCCATATGTGTAAGCTTCATACTTGAAATAAATTTCATTCTTTTTCCTAGCTCTCATAAATTTTAACGGCATATTCACACAGGTCATACTTCAAAGGTTCATAATGTTCCGCTATTCTTCTTTTTTAAGTTCATGACTCGTAGATCTGGAGAACACTTACAAATAATTTGCTATCTTCTAATTATAATCAACATTCACTACTATTCTAGAATCACATGCAACTAAAGCAAAAAATAATAATAATAAAATAAAATAAAATAAATGAGAATCCTCCTATGCATCACCAACTAAGCAAAGATGATGTTTAGAAGCAAAGTAATCAATCACATAGCCAATTAAGGTATGAGATATTGGCACTATAGTCAAAAAAGGACAAAGTTGTCCTGCTACATGAAGTTTTATATTAAATGCATTAGTAAGTATATATATATATATATAGATAGATAGATTAAATGTATCATTAAGTAAATCAAAACTGTTTAGAAAGCATGAAGAAAATTATCTCAAACAAAGTCTTAAAGACTTCAACATATTTTGAGAACTTTTCTTTTTTTTTTTTTAATAAGGATATTAAAAGATATGATCATATTCTTAGTCCTACTACATATGTGGCTCCTATCAATATTCTAATCATATCATCATACAACTCAAGTTTATGATAATAAAATCAACTAACTATTACATTGAATTCTTTCTCATATAAATATAGTCACAAACAAATAGGTCAATATTGGGAGATAATTATTTATAAGACAAATTATGAATAAGATTTACTAATCATTGTATACCAAAATATCATCATTTAACTCTACATCTAACAAATTTGTACTAAAATCATCATCTAAATATTTACACTCATGGTTTTCATCAACAAGATGCTCCTTAAGATCACAATCTCATAATTTGAATTTAAGAGTGAAACTTTTTAAAGATAGTGAGTATATAACATCTTCTAACAAAATTCAATTATAGAGAATTTAAGGGCAAAACTTTCACATCATAAAAAAGAAGAATGTTATTTGTTAAATAATCATATTGTGAGCAAAATAAATAAACAAAAAATATATATGCCTGAACCTTATAATTTAATTGAATTGTGTTTTAATGATAAGTAAATGAACATTAATAATTAATAAGTCATTAAATTTGTTAACTTGCTCCCTATAGTTCACACTTAAGTTAGTATATAACCAAACAACAATAAAATTACAAAACACTCTCCTAATAATCCTAAAGAGAACAAAGCCTATCATAGAACTACAAAACTCAAATCTTCAAAAGAATGGGAAAATGAGCAGAAAATTACTTGGAATGTGATCCTACTCAATTTTGGCCCATTGTCAATTCTATGGCATCATCATATTCAAATAAAAAATATTTTATTAGGATATCGTGGTGCCATTTATATTTATACAAATGCTCTAAGCTTTAAAGTTTGCTTCTCTTTTTTTATGATCATGTTTGGTTTAAAAAATTCTTATTTCAAAAATATAACTAAGATTTTCCCTTCGCTCATTCAAATTGATAAATTTTCATTCTCCTAAAGCTTTCTGCATGAATGCTCCATGAAAATAGCAAATCATGATAGGATCACTCACCTCGTGTATAAGAATAGTTGCTTTATGAATCAACTTCTTCAATCTCCTCAAAATTGGCATAAATGTGGCCATGTAAACTGGACTTCCATGCCTCTTCTAATAGCTTTGAATTTTACTGCCTTGGCCAAATAAGGTAGTCTCCAAAAGTTGAGGCTCTGATCCTTTTGCTATGTTCTCTTTCTCTGCAACTTCAGCAAAGCAATATCCACCCAAACCATGGGAACTGAGAACAGCATCCATGGAAGCTTCTGTTGTGAGTCTTCTCTGTCCTTGGATAGTGAATATATTTTATTCTCATGATAATAAAATAAAATTCTAAAAAATACAAATTTTTTAATTTAAAACTAAAAAATTAAGTTTAACAATCAAGTCAAGCTCAAGCTATCCAAGCATTCTTGAGCGATCGAGCCGACCTAGACCTACAAATTTTTTTATCAAGTTGAGCTCATTGAGATCGAGTCAAGCTCAAACTCAATAAGAACTAAGAAAAATTAACTTGATTAGATAGATACTCAACTCGTTTACACCCCTAGCTATGTTTGTGATCTGACTGGCTAAAATAACCATAAGAGTAAGCAGGAATATATATTTTTTCTTGAACCAAATATATATATGTCGTTGCACTCATCTACAAGACTAAAAATCTATGATCATACATTTAATTTCCCTTAACCAATCGAACAATATGGTAAAGCCAATCAAATAAAATAATAAATGAGATAGTTTACTATAAATTTACTAACTTTCTTATTTTAATGTCTCTTGACCGCATGCACATAAATCGTTCATTGGGCATCAATGGGTAATCTGAGGGCATTAGACATAACTACTTCAGGGAAATAGATATTTGTATTACAATACAAGGAGAATTATTGTATTATAATACAAGGAGAATTATGTAGCTCATCTTGATATATTGGGTGGGAGCATTGGCTATCAACTAAGAGGTATTGAATTCGAATCTTACGCATATGATGTGTTTGTGGATTTGCCTTAATTGGTCAAGACATCAAACCACAAGTTCTAATGTTCGAGGTCTAACATGTGTCGATGTGTGCGTAATTTGTTTAAAATCTAAAAAACATGGCTCTGTGCGTAATTTTATGCTGCTTGAAATCGTAAAGTTGACCCAGCTCATCTTGGTCTGGACTCTGGTGGTTGAGAGCTTTGGCTATCAACCAAAAGGTATTGGGTTTGAGTCTTGCATATGTGATTTGTATGAGAGTTTGCCTTAATTGACCTAAATATTCCAATATATATATATATGCATACAAAGAGAATTAATCAAAATAGAATGAAAGAAAAAAATTATTAGATTTAGGATTTAAAATGTACCAATATAAGCTTCAAAATTGATTGATTTTTGTTGAGATAACACTGATCTAAATGTAGATATGACGGTTTTAAAGTACATCATGATAGATCAAGATATTTTAACATAATTTTTTTTAATTAAAATAAAAAATTACTGCGATGTTCTTTTTTTTTTTCTATTAAAGGAGGAAAGCATGAGTTAATTAGTAAAAAAAAAGATTATGTCACGATATTCTGATGCAAAATATATGAAAATTATTTTACAATCTTATTATATTACCTTAAATTTTAATTTTATAAACAATATAAAAATTTTAAAATCATTTATATGAAACAATTTTAACTAGTAAATAAGAGAAAGACGAATAAGATAGATTATTCCCACACAACTCTCATGGAGGAACCAGCGATCGCAGGGCCAAGTTGCGACCCTTGGCTTCCCCTGCGCGGCGGCGATACCTCGGTCAAATGCCCCCACGGCGACCCCCCGGCCGTCGGAGGTGAGGGCACGTATTTCCTCATAAGTTGTGAAGATGAACACACGCACCCACAATTACACCCACATCCACAACCAACCTCCTGACGAAACCCTCCACCGCCACCCATTCTCCACCCTGGCCCTCCGCCGTAGCCGAAGGCGGCGTTCGGCCTCTGGTAAGCCATCGGTGATCCTCCACCGCTTACTCGGCCGAGGTTCGGGGTGCTCCTCACCCGATGCATCCCTCCGCAGCCTGCATAGTGCGCCGGTTGGGGGGTGGGAAGACCACCGTTTATGGCATCGACGTATCGTTGATCGAGAGTGGCGGCGGGTTCCGCTGCCGCGGCGGTCGCCACCGCCGCAGGGGAAGGGAAGAGGAAGAGACGGAATAGAGGGGAGGAGGCGACGGTGGGGGATCGGGGGCGGTCGTATTCGTCGATCATGTGGTAAAGATCTTCGTCGGTTTTGACGGAGACGAGGGTGTCCAGATCCTCTGCCATCAGCTGATACTTCACCACCAAATCCGCGTTGAACATTCCGGCGATCTTCTCCTTCAGCTCTGCAAAGGTGAAGAGGAAGAAATAAGATAAATTCCTGAAACTTTCATTAAAGATTGAAAATTTGGGGGTCATTGTTCTAGCCTTTAAAGGAGATGAAGCGGGGAACGGATAGAACGCGAGTATCGCCGCCGACGTAGCGGAGGTGGCCGTCTGAGGGGCGCGGGAGAATACGGCCGCCATAGCTACAGAGAAACTTGAGGCGGTTTCTGGGGGAAGATTGGGTTTTCTCCATGGATGGGATTATGAGCGAAGATGCTATTACTAACGAAGGTGATAATGGCGGTGAAGTTGTGATTACGATGATGATTTCCGCTTTGAACGGTAAGAAGTTAGTGGTAATGAGATAAATTTGCGCGCGTCGGTTCGATTAGGGATAACAGATTGGACAGAATTGAACAAATCTACATAGATATATATTGTGTGGGGCTATTTCTATTAATATTTTTATTCTGATAGGCTATATAAATTGAAATATATATATATAGATATGGGGGTAGATCCATGGCTAAATAAGAAAAGAGCATAAAAGGTAAATCTATAAATTATAAATATGTTCTAATGAAAGTTTGCCATAAATAAAAAATATTTTGATTATATTGCTTTAATTAAATTTAATGTGCATTAAAATTTTCAAATAAGATATAGTCTCACATTAAGATTTCGTTTGGGTAGTCTTTCTTACTACTGCTTAAAACAACTTTCTAGTTCAAAATTTTATATTTTTGTACTATAAAGCTACTTTAAAAAGCAATAAGAAAGTCATCTCAAACAAAGCCTAAGCCGCTTGTTTGCTTGGAGTGTCTTAGAAAACATGAGATGAATAGTAGTGATGATGGCTCCAAATGAACATGCCTAGTCATCTTCTGAGCATGAGTAGGTTCGCGAGTTCACTGTGACCCAAAGTATGAGTTAGACTTAGCAAATTCATGTTGATACTGAAAAATTGACCTGATTGAACTAAGTTGTGACAATGGTCTCTTCACCCCTTTTCTAGGAGAAATTATTACATCCGGTCAAAAACCGAACGGTCCGAATGTATACCGAGCAATACCAATTTTAGGTGACATGGCGCGTGGTTATTGGTCTCTGAACGCATTCGGACACCGGATGTAATAATTGCTTCTTTTCTAGAAAAATAAAATAATAAAGATAAAAAAACACAGTGGAGAAATTAAAATAGCAATAAAATAATTCTAAATTTTAGTTGAAAGTGCTTGGCTTTGTATTTTGTTCAAGCGACACGGTGGATGTGTTTTTGAGGCGGAGTTTTCTACCTCATGTGGATTGCAGCCGTAGGCGGATGGAGCCTGAAGGGAGCTCGTTGCACGAGCTGAACAAGTTGGCCAAAGCTTGTGATCGCGCTGGAGTCGCGAGAGGCGAAAGATTTGTTCAGATCTTTGAGGTGGAGCTGTGGACTTCAAGTGGAGTCCTGGAGATTAAGAAGAGGAGTCTACCTGTTCTTGAGCTGTGCCGGGAGTGCGGAGCGCCTGGAGGTGCACATGGCACTGGCGGAAGACACGCAGGGCGCTGGCCGGACGCAGCAGTGCAGGGCGTGAGTTTGTGACGACCGAAGAAGAACTGTTGGGTGTGAGAGCAAGAAGAGGACTATGTCTTTGTTAACGGCTGGTTCTTGAGCTTCTTGTTGAAGAGAGAAGATTTGAGGAGTGAAATCTTGGGATTTCTGTGTGAAGGTGTACCCTTCTTGTTCTCCTCTGGTTTGGTCTTTGTCTCTGAAAGGCAAGAGGTTTGCCTGTTGGAAGCTGCTTGTGCCGTAAGATCTGGATCCTTAGCTGTACGCTGATTTGCAGTTGAGTTGATACCTGCTGGGCTCTCGAGTTTTTTGGGATTACGTCCCCTGGTTTACCAAACTGTATGTTCTTGGTTGTTGTTTTAAGAACAGTTGATTTCTTTGTTTTGTAAATCTAGGACTAATGTGGAGATTTGTTGTACTTTGTTCCTAGATTTAGGTTTTAGGCTTGTATAGCCTTGTGTGTAGGTTGTATTGTTACATTAGGTGCCTATAAATAGAGGCCCTATGTCTTGTAATAGATAATGTTTAAGAAATAAAGCTTCCAACGTTTGGCTGCCTCCCTCTTCCCTTCTCCTCTCTCCCTCCTCCTCTCTCAACTTCAAGAAGAGGAAGTGTTCTTCCTCTCTTGCCGGAGTTGGATTCAACAAAAAGCAATGAGGAAACTTCTATGTTAAGTTGTAATAACCATTTAAAAGATTAGTAAGAACTGATAATGAAATTTATATTAAAATATTAATCTAATTTCCTTTTAAAAAATATTAAATAATTTTTTTTACATGAATGACGTGCAAATGGTTTAGCATTGAGTTAATTAATGCATAAGGAGCTTCAAGATATTCATAAGTAATATAAAGAAACATTTATATAATTTACATTTAGGTGATTGTTTAAACCTAAATACTTTTATTTCAATGGAGAGATTTTCATTAAAATTCTCATTAGCCTCTTCTTCCATAAAAAATCTCTAATTTATATTTGTGAATTCCAAAAAAAAAAAAAAAAATCTAACTCAACTTTTTATAAGTAAAAAATTTCTTGAAAGCATCAAAGAAGTATTGGCTAAAAGCACTCACAAAGAAAGCCTAAGTTTATACAAACTTAATATAAAACTTTAACCAAGCTAAAAGAAACAAAAGTGGGTGTAATTTAATGTATATAATTATAAATATATATGCTGTAAATTTAAACAATAATATATTCATCAATTTATTTATTCAATTTTTTTAAGCTAAAAAGAAAAATTTTCATGAGAAGAACGTGCTGAATCCAAATTCGTCTATAACAGATATCTGGACTATTCTTACAAAATTAGCTGCGAAAGTATAAAATTGTAAAGAGAAAAAGGGAAAGAATAGGAAAGAAACTTAATGATTTTATTGCTCGAAATAAAAGAGGTCAAGACAAATCTCCCCTTATTGTCTTGTCTTTGATTCATTATTTATAAATAGATAGAGACAAGACTTTATAGGAAACTAACATAAAAGATAAATGGATAAACTATTAAATTTTGCCTAATAAGGGTCTAGCATAAGATAAAAGATATTATTATTAATTATATCGCTTTAATCATATTAAATGTGCATCAAGACATTCAAATAAGTTGCAGACTCAGATTAAGGCACTGGTGGGCTCTACATAAGTATTAGTTAACTTGGAGTGAGTAATAATCCCAATGTCTCTATTTGCATGGCTGCTCATCTTCTAAGTTCGAGTAGGTCCAAGAGTTCACTGAGATCCTATTAAGTGTATGTTGGACCTAGATAGTTTATGTCATGAGCTTAGAATCATGTCATCAACTTGGCCCAATTTGGCTTATCACGGAGGTCACACTATTATATTCTTTTTATTAATGTGACGATTAGAGAATTAGAGGAACTTGACCAATGTATACACATCTATCGTAACTTGAGTGCATATTAAAAAGGTCCTTTCCTAAGACCCAAAGTGAGCACGACATGCACAAAGTTGGCTCAAATCTTTAATCTTCAACACCTCACTTTAAATTTGAACTGTTAAGTCTCACAAGGTTTCTCCTTGCTAATGCTTCATTCTTAGCAAGGCTTGATAATTTCTTAATTTTCTTTGATTGCTGACAAATTTTGCTATGAATTGACACTTGAATTTGATGAATGAGGCAATACTTTCTAGAGAAAAGCGGGAGAACCACCAAAGCATTGATTCCTTAAAAGGTGGTAAGGAATAGCATATACCATATGTATCATAGATTTAATAGAGATATAGCCAATTTAAAGTAGGTGCGGGTAGACTGGCTCCATCCTCCTTTTATGTTAGTTGAAGTGGGGATGTTGTAAACTTTGCTTGGGGTCATGCCTTGGTGATTTCTCTTGTGAATGCATTTATTAATGTTGGTCATCACTTCTAAGCACTGCAGGGGTGCAATATTCTCATTATCGCTTTTGAGATAGTAGATTTTGTTGGCTAATGAGGCTGAGATCAATGTGTGAAGACTCTAGGCTGTCAAGTGCGTGATAAGAGTCTGCAAATATATCATAAACTATTTCTTCTCGAGATGGGCCTTCAGCTGACTGTTATGAGACACATTGGATTATTCTTGTGATTTTATCTTTTATTTAAGCAAGTTGTGAGTTTGTGATAAACTCTTGGTTCACCATCTTTACCAATTGTTCATTTTCATGTTATCTATCTTATAGTGAGTTTGTGATAAACTCTTAATTCATCATCTCCACCAATAGGAGTAGGGCTTTATTTCGGGTTCATGATATCAGTCTACACTCATCACATCATAGGTGATATTGAATCAAATTTCTCAAATGTAGGTCACATGAAAATCTTATTAATAAAATTGATTATAAAGAGCTAAGAGACAAATATAATATTTACAAGAGTAATTTATATATGATTTAAATATATTATTAAGTACTAAACAAGGCCTATAAAATTAATAATTATTGAATTTAATCGACTGAAACAATCAGTATTAAAGATATTCAAATTTAACATCATCATTAGCATATTAGCTGAAGGTACATAAAATAATACGAGAATTGCTCCTATGGAGCTGGCACCTTAAACGAAAGAAAAATCGTTTTCCAAGAATAGAAAAATCGGAAAAAAGTGGTCCCGGCGGGGCTCGAACCCGCGACCTCCGGCTCATAAGACCAGCGCTCTAACCAACTGAGCTACGGGGCCTATATTAATCTTTTGGAATTATAGAAAGTATTTAAAATAAATCTTATATATATCTTTTCCATTTCAAGCAATTTTCTTATTATATTTGATGTCCTGATACATATAAACACTTTATATTAATCACATTCGAGATTGGATTCACGTGTAACCCTTGGTGCACAACATAACCCTCAACTTCTATCAAAATTTTTATATATTAATTAAAAGATTCATATCATGATTGTTCAACAAATCTTATATTGGATGTTGACTAACGCAACAATCCCATTTTCTCATTTAGACTTTGGATGCGTAAACCTTAATGTATCCGATGTTGTTGAAGTGAATTTACTATGGATGGTTGTAGTAATGATAATTATGTTGATTATGTATGATTTTGCATCATAAGAAATCATCCGGGTGAGCTTATATATTCTGGTATTTTATGACTTGGTATTTTTAACTCCAATGCTAAATTAGTTGGCTACATTAATGGGTTGGAGTTTTTCATTCTTCACGGGGGTTTTATTCAAATATTTTAATCGAAATGAATGCAAGGAATCTAATTTTTATGTTCATAATTAAAAATTTTGTACTAAAAAGCTATTTTGAGAAGAAGTAAGAAAGTCGCCCCAAATGAAGCTTTTGTCTCCTCTCTTTCTGAAGTGTTAATTTTATTACTATTTTCTTATGACTAATTCTCTTTAAACGAGTCTTCAGTTAGTGACACTTATTAGGTTATCCCGTAGGATTAGTATCTCTAATTTTTTTCATATCATCATCATCATCATTTATATTTGGGTTATTCAATCGGCTTATTAGAGCTTCTTGTGCTGGTTATATACTCATCTTTATATCATTTTGCACTTCAAATCTTAATAAATGTTATCCTGATAATTGTTTATATCATCTTTATATAATTCACAAACTTGTTTAAAAAATGTTAGCTAAAAGAATTGGCGCTTTGCTTCCTAAAATCATTTCTCCTAATCAAACATGCTTTTTCAAAGAAAGGCTCATAGCTAATAATGTTCTTCTAGCTCAACAACTTGTCCATGAGTTAAATATCAAGAGTAGGGGAGGAAATATGCTTTTTAAATTGGACATCTCTAAGGCTTATGATAACATTTCTTGGGATTTCTTATATACAATTTTATCTCTTTTTGGCTTCTTAGCTAAGTTTCTACACATTATCAAAACTTACATTGAGAACGTTTGGTTCTCAATCCTACTTAATGGTTCTTCTAATAATTACTTCCGTTCAACCCATGGCCTTAGATAAGGGGACACTCTATCACCTACCTTATTTATCATAACTGTTGAATACCTAGCCAAATGTATCAATGACCTTCTTGATAAACATCCCAGCATGTATTATAGGAACAAAATTGGCTTACCTATTTTCCATTATGTTAAAAAAATCAAAAGGTTTTTTGACAACTTTGCTCAAAAAATGGTCTTTATATTAATAAAAAAACAAAAGCTCCTTTCTTACTTCCTCCTCTTTTACAAAATGTTGGATTAATAGAATCACCAGCATCACAAACTTTGTTCATCAAAAGTCTCCTTTTAAATATCTTGGTGCCCCTAGTTTTAAAGGTCCAAAAAATCACATCTTTTTTATGAACTTATTCAAAATATCCAAAATAAAATTTCCTCATGGGAATTTCATTTTCTTTTTTATGAAGGTAGGCTTAATGTACTTAAGCACCTTAAACTCAATGCCTTTCATCTAATATAAACGATCAAGCCTACCTCTATAATTATTTTAAAAATTGAAAGGCTCCTAAATAAATTCTTTTAGGGGTATAGGACCAATAATAACAGATTGTATTTGTCCAACTGGAATATTTTTTTGGCCCATTAAATGAAGGAGGTCTGAGTTGTAATGCAATAGCTGACTCTATAACTACTTCTTATAAACTATAGTGAAACTTTAGGAAAAAGTCTATGAGCAAAATTCATGACATTTAAATATTATAAGGCTAAATACCCTTTAGCTTTTTACTATAAACATGAGGACTCTTTAATTTAGAGAAGACTCTACTCTATTTAATGAAAAGTTTAATCCTTAATATCTTGGGATATTAACTCTGGTTCATCCTTTTTTTGGTAAGACAACTGGCTTTCTAAGGGATCAATTGATATATTGTTTTCAACTCAATCTACTAGTGTTATTAAAGTTCACCAAATGCTATATAATAACTACTGGAATGTGGATCTCATTCTTACTATGGTCCCTAATAACATTGCTGAAAAAATTCAAAAGAACTAAAATTAATAAACAAGACTAGATCCTTTGTAAACTGTCTTATAATGGTAATTTCATTTTTAAAGATGTGTGACATTTCATTAGAGTAAAGAAAGATACTTTTGTTGTCTTTTACAAGATTTGGAGTGATAATATACCGATTTCATACTCAGTATTAGTTTGAAGAATCTTAAAGAATTACATCCCAATGGATATATAATACTCTTTGGACTAAAGGTTTTTACCTACCTTTTAAATGTTACTGCTTTTATGATATTGAAAATATTAATCATGTCTTTGTTAATGGTTCAATTGCCTCTCACATTTGGATTTGGTATGATGAGCTTTTCAATTCTAATTATTTTTATGGGTAATTATTTTTTCATCAACTATTAAGCTTGGCTTATCAAAACACTACTAAAGGACATATAAAGATCCTATTTACCATCATTTTTATTTGGTTTATTTGGATGGAATTAAATGATGCAAAACAAAAACATCTGTATGAACATAAGAGAATTATTGCTAGAACCAAGCAAAAAAAAAAAATTACATAAAGCAAATCTTACCAAGAATAATCAATTCCGTGGTTTTAAATTTGTCGCTAAAAATTAGGCATAACTCTTTCGATAATTATCCCAAACTTATTTTTTTGGCATAAGCCAAAAGAAAATATTAATAAAATTAACACAGATGGTTATATGTCTCAAATGCTAAATGCAGATGTGGTGGAATTATGTGTGATAATAAATATATGGTCCTATTTGTTTTTGCATGCCCTCTTGATTTTCGTACCGTTAATTATGCTGAATTCATGGCTATTAATCATGCACTCATTCTATGTTTTTCCAAATGTTTTTTAAGAATATGGATAGAGGTAGATACTAGTTTAGACTTTCACTTACTTCTGATAATTTGGGTAACTCTGATTCATTTTACTTGCTAAAAAATATTAAAAAAAGTGCTATCACAATTGAATTACTCTATTACTCATATCAAGAGAAAAGGGAATTCATGTGCATGTTTTCTGGCAAAAATGGTTGCGGATTTACCTCAATTTACTTCATTCAGAAATTAAAATATAACGAAATGCGTTAAAAGTCAAATAATAAATAATCTTTAATTTGACCATAATTTAGTAGACTTAAGAAAAATATAACACATAATGTATTATGTAAAATTTATGTAGGCCCACAATAGAAATATTCCAACAAGTAGGGCAACATGTTGAAGAAAATATATTAGAATGAATATTCGATTATAGCTTATTCATGATCATTTGTTGAACTAATCAAACAAATTTGAATACTTCTTTAAATACTTGATGGTTAAATAAATAAACTTGAACAACTATTTATTCGACTGGTTTATATTTATGAGCAATATCATTTAAAGCTCGTGAACATGGACTCGAGAAGAAGCTCAATTCATATTCAATGTAAAGCTTATGTCCAAGTTCGTTAAGAAATTCAATTAATGTTCGATATGGAGCTTGAATAAGCGTCATTTTGAAAATGATGTCTAACCTAACATGAATATTTTATATTTATTATAATTTAATAATATAATAATCATTACGTAATACATTTTAAAAATAATTAAATATTATAGCATGATTAATTAGATGTAATTGTTCATATTTGCTAGATTGTTTTGTTTGAGTATTAATTTACTAGCTTCTTCATTAAAAGTATCATCTTCAGACCTCAATAAATTATTCATTTTAAGCTTAAAAAATATTCAACATTTAAGCTTGAAAAATATTCAGTAGACTAACTTATTTATGAGCTCCAGAAAGCAGATTAAATATGTTTGTTAATGAACTTGATAAGGGTTGTTTGTTAAGCTAATGAATATCTCAAAAGTAAAGTTTGTTAACCGTTTGAAAAAACTCATTTATTATTTTATATATGTTTCTTGTTTAAAGTTTGATAAGTAAGCTTTCAATTGAATATAAGCTGAACACAAATCTAATTTAAACATCAGACATTTTACGCATCTAATATTGATTTGTTGGTTGCGATCTTTGACTATCAACTAAGAGATTTTGAATTTGAAGCTTATATATAATGTATATAAATTTATTTTTAATTGACTCAAACGTAAAAAAAATAAATAAATAAATAAAATGATCCAAATTTGAGCCTAAATAGAAAAACTTAAATCAATCTAAAAAAAATAAAAAACCTAGGCAACTACATTTTATTAAAAAAAAAAAGTTCTATAAATATTTTTCAGGCTCCCGTTAAAAAAAAAAATCATAAACGTATTGCAAAGCAGTCGGTCTCCGCACGTCCGCATTTCTACGGAGAGCGAGCGAGAGAGTGCAATGGCCGAGTCATCGAATCCCTTAGGGTTTCTGGGGAGGCACTTCGAGGAGGTGAAGGAGCACTGGAGGAAGAACTTTGCGTTCCTTGATTACTACAAGAAGACACTGGGATGGGAAAAACCACCGCCCAAATGGATTGACGCAGATGTTGAGGAATTTATCTCCTCAGATCGCGTGTACGGTCCACAGGTTCCCATCCAATCCTAAAGCCACACCCTTCCAAACTTGCTATCATGTTTTCTTCTGTCGTTTATTTATGATACCGAGCTGGCATTCATTGTGCCCGGATATTATTGTGGATGTTCAATTCTGCTTGTGTTTTGTGCTGTATATTTGTATCATCAGTGTTGGTGTTGTTATCCTTCTTAGGGAGGAGATCCGTATGATCATTGAAGTTCGCTGGCGCTGAGGGATTCCTTCGAAGACAACTCTATGGAAAGGCTTGGTCTGTGGTTCCATGAAATGGGTGCTCTCCTGGCCGGATTCTGTTGTGAATCTAATTGGAATATTTAAGAAGATGTTTAGTAGTCCAAAGTTGGTTGGTTAGTTGGCGTTAGTGAGTTGAGTTAACTTTGTAATCTATATATACCAGATTTAGGGCAAATTATTGGGTCAGGTGACCGAACGCAGAGATAGGTTCGGATAATAATGACCCAATAATTTGCCCAGATTTAGAGAGGATGAGGAGATGAAATGAATTTATACATTTCCCCTTTTTTGTATCAATTATCTTTTCTTTCTTTTTTGGGAGTGCTGAGAGCTCGAAATACAAATACAACCAATCAAACATATATATGTAACCATCCACAACCACATATTTATCTATTTATTATACATGTAGGCTAACAATCTACTTTTTGAGGAAATGATAAAAAAGTGCATCTATGATTCATGCAAACTTATCTATGACTTTTATTATTTGTTTTTATTGTATGCTTCTGTGATCTTAAAAGAATTTACGTGTATTTTGGCAAACCCGAGAGCAATTGATAGTTGAGTTTTGAGACTATTGTGTGAAGGGAGCATCATTGAGAGTATAAACTTGATTTGAAGCCACCCTTTGGAGTTGAAGATGTCGTCTTCACATGGATTCAAAGATGTTTCCATCGCTTGGAGTTGAAATTCTCCAATGCATCGAGTCAAAGTCATCTCTAGCGTGCAAACTATGAAGAATCAAAGCCCTCAACTCAAGTAGGACTAGGTGCATGCATGCGTGTGGAAGTGGCGGTGAGCCAAAAAATTTATTGAGGTGGGTGGGTGGATCTAAATTAATTATTTTAAATTTTCCTCAACTATATATATATTTGATGCAAGATTTTCCACGTTTAATTCCAATTTTGTTTGATAAATCTACATCAACTCAAATGCATATTTTATTTTCCTCATCATTATTGTTTTTCTCATCCATAGTATTTGATGCTTTAGTTTAAATCTCAGACAATTAGATATCCAAATCCTCTACCTATAAATAGAGATTTCTGCTAGCAGAAAAAAAGTATTAGAAATTTGGATCTAGGCCGAAATACGAGAATGATTTATTACTAGTGATGTAAAATGAACACCATCATACCCTCCTTTGGATCCTGGATGCAAAATTCCAGTTAGTAACTTCCTTACCAGAGATTGCTTAGCAATTGAACCATTCCACACTTTGTTTTGTGGGCATACTCCCCAACAGATTTTTGTGCTGATAATATATAGACATAATTTATGAGTGCAACATTTGAGATAGAGTTTAACTGACGAAATCATAGCATTTTCACCCGGGACCCCCCCCCGGGCCCCCCCCCCCCCCCCTCCCATGGCATCATGAACTTTATGATATTCCAATAGAGGTGTGGAAATGCTTAGGAGATAAAGAATTTATTAGCTTGCTAAACTTTTTAATATTATTTTAAAGACTAAAAAGATGTCAGATGAGTGGAAAATGAGTGTGTTGATTCCTATTTTCAAGACTAAATGTGATGCACATGATTGTGCGAATTATAGAGGAAGTAAGTTAATGTGCATACTTTAAAAAACTATGAGAGAGAGTTATGGAGCATAGGTTGTAGCGTGATACTAGTGTTTCTCAAAATCAATTTGGATTGATGCCGAGTAGGTCTACTATGGAAGCTATACATTTATTGAGAGGTTTGATGGATAAGTATGGAGAGAATAAGGAGCATCTACATATGATATTTATTGATTTAGAGAAAGCATATGATAAAATTCCAAGAGAAGTGCTATAGAGGGTTCTAGAAAAGAAAGGGATTAATAATGCTTATATTTATGTCATTAAGGATATGTATGCATGAGCTATTACTTTTGTTCAAACACAAGGTCTTTTGACCAAGTATTTTCCTATTTCAGTTGGATTGCATCAATGATCAGCCTTAAGCCCATATCTTTTTGTTTTAGTCATGGATGTTCTCACTAGACATTTGTAAAAGGTTGTACCCTGGTGTATGCTTTTTGCTGATGATATTTTTCTTGTTGATAAGACTAGAGAGGAAGTTGAAGGTGAACTTGAATTATGAAGGTCAACCTAAGAGTCTAAAGGCTTTCATTTGAGTAGATCTAAAACTGAATGTATGTAGTGTAGTTTTAGTAATAATAGATCTAGTTTATGACTTTGGGCGATCAAGAGTACACATTTTTGATATCTTGGGTCTATTGTTCAGAGTGATGGTTAAATATATGAGGATATTATTAGTAGAATTCAAGTTGGATGGTTGAAGTGGAGGAATGTATCGGGCTTGCTGTGTGATAGAATAGTCCCCCTCAAACTTAAGGGAAAATTCTAGAAGATGATGGTGAGACCTGCAATGCTTTATGGTGCAGAATGTTGGCCATTAAAAGAGAAGCATAATATTAAGTTAAGTGTTTCAGAGATGAGGATGCTCAGGTGGATGAGTGGCATTACTCTTAGAGATAGGGTACAAAATGAGCATTTATGTGAAAAGATTGGAGTAGCTCTAGTGGAAGATAAGATTAGAGAGAGTCGTCTTAGATGGTTTGGTCACATAAAACGTCGGCCTTCCGATAACCCGATTAGGAAAGTAGATTTATTAGATTTGACTTATTTTAAGAAAGGTAGAGGTAGACCTAAAAAGACTTGGTTAGAAAATATTATAAATGACATTTCCTTATTAGATTTAAATATAATTTTGACTCTTAACAGGACACAATGCAGAAAAAGTATTCATGTAGCCAACCCAACATAATGGGATAAATGATTGATGTTGTTGTTGTACTCTTAAGGTATAAATTTGGAGAGAAAATATTCATGTAGTCAACACCACGTAGTAGGATAAAGGTTTGATGTTGTTGTTGTTACTCTTAAGGTATAAATCCATAACTATAATCTTTGTTAATTAATCTTTCAGTTGGTATCACTTTACAATATCTATAAGAAAATTTTTGTTTCCTTCCATTTTGGAAGAAATATGTTTGTAATTTAGTGACTCCACTTTTGTTACTAGCTAAGTACTCTTCCCGTTTCTTAAATTATCTATTTGCAATTACAAAATCAAAATAGCTTCTCCATTGCATTTTTATTTTCTATTTCATAAACATCATGAATACTCTTGTAGCCCATGCTAGTAGGACGTGCATACCCATTTAAACCATTTCTAATAAGTTTTCTTTCTTCGTTAAGTAAATATTATAGTTGTTCATTCATCACTTCAAAAAAATAAAAATTTAAATTATATTCTAATTCAATTTATGAAGCGTTATTACTAATTGCATTTTATAAATATTTCATTTATAATTATCTTATTAGCAATCACCTTATACTAGCCCTATTAACCTCAACAATTTTATCTTTTATGCCTTTATCCACTATTAGCCGAGCTAAATTTTATTTTTAATCATTCCAACATTCATTAACTTATAACCTTCCATAATAACCTAGACTTTTCTCCCTTGAATTTAGTCTTTTAAATAGCAATAATTTCATCTTATCATAATGTTTCCCAATTCTTTTCTTGTTCAAAGTTATCATATTTTAGTGGAAAATCTAATCTTAGATTTAGACTTAGTGGATCCTTGCTTATTTGTCATCATAATTGATTTAGTTTGTGTTAAGCCACGTATGATGATGTCTTAGCCAACCTATAAATCCAAAATATTTTTTGAAGATTTGCTTTAATATGTGCCATCAACATATCCATTACAATAATTGCAAGATAAGATCAAATATTATCTTGCCAATGCCACGTCAACATGTGCTCTATTTAAGTAACATGTCTCAAGGGCCTCTCTTGGGACTCCCTCTCGGAAGTCTTTCGTGGAAGTCCTTCAAAGAAATTCTTCTCGGGGAGTTTTGTTGAGAGATTTCTTAGGAAACTGCCTCAGGATTCTCTTGTCGTGTCTTGGGAAGCCTTCTAACTCACTTGGCAGGCAATTTTTTCTCATCTGAGTTATTTTTTAAAACTATGAATTTAACATGCTTCTTGCATGAGTCCCAAAAGCATTTATAAAGAAGTTCGACGAGATCCACCATATCTTGACATCTGTAGAGCTTAATCAATGTGGTGCATTATTTCCCTTGCTAAAAGGTGAACCTGTGATTGAGCATTTAATGCCGCAGCAAGGCTCCCTTGCCTTTGCTTGCCAAAGTTCCAAGATCTGTCATTCCCTCATACATAAAAGGACAATGAGACACCCTTTACCTCATCAATGCATTAACACCATCTGATCGCTATAATCCGTATAGCCAACAAACCTATAAATCAAGTCACTGTGTACAACAATAAAAGCGGGTTATTGATCCTATTCTATCTACTCATCTGCAAACTCCCAACCATTCTTCAAGTAGTTATCGCCTCCAAGTTCCTTTCAAGGATTCTCCCTCATCGTTCACCACAAGGATTCTTTTGGATTATGGAAATTGATGAGTCCCTTAAAAAGGTTCTCCTACGCCTATAACAGCATTTTCATTAGTTCTCTTATAGATGATCGAAGTGTCACAACTATTACTTATATTACTTTCACACCTGATAACATTATATAAAAGCTGTATTTTTTCTCTGAGATATACTCTGCCTATATTGTAATTCTCTATGCTCTTTTCGTCCTCTCTGGAAAGCTCTAAAAACACTGCAAAATCTTTCATCTTTACTGTATTTGTTGTCATCGTGCATTTGCTCTTTATTGCCCTAGCTGATGCATATGTCTATGGATTGAATTGCTATACTTCTTTG